AAACACGTCGACTTTTTTATAGTGAGAAAAGTACGCGGCGCTGACGAACTCCTCCCCTCCCAACAGCAAGCCACCATCCGAGCCGAGCAGTTTTCTGATGCGGGGTGGGCGCAGTGGCTGATAGTGCCGGCTACCCGTCTGCACTCGCCACACCACGACCTCGTCCCCATGGCGCACACAACAGGATTACTAAAAACCTGGAGAGAAGAAGGAGCCATCACCGTCCAACCAGCACATACACACATGCCGTACGAATACCCCTCACACTATCTATCACAGGCGCCGAATACGTATGGCACGCCTAAGTTGGAGGCAGGATATATGGCTCCTCTCCCATTTGACCTCTATTGTCCACACACACTAATTGATGAACGTTCACTGACCGCTAACAAAGCTCACTTGTCCTGCTCCGCCTTGCTTTGGGCCTCGTTTCCCGGGCCCTGACAGTAGCTGCAGTAGCCAGTAGTATATGCAGATATTATTGCCGGCAAAGACAAGGCAGACTGGAATGGTCTTTACGGCTTGTTAGCCGTAGTCAGACAGTCATACCCAGACCCAAGTGGTGCACCACTCGAGCCTCGAACTCGCAACCTTTTGATCAAAGCGGTTGGTGAACGTTCATCAAAGAGCATCAATATCTCCCGACGTAAACCGGCGAAACAACGAGCTCGCGGCTCAATGGTTAAGGCATCAGACTGTGAGCAAAAAGGTCGCGAGTTTGATGCTCCGGTGGTGCACCACTTGAGTCCGGGTATGACTGGCTGATGACGGTTAATAAGCCAGAAATGGTCATTCCAGCTTACCTTGTCTTTGTCGGCAATATTATCATTCCACACACATTTTGTGAAATCCTGGTGGGTTGTGTAGGATTCAGGTCGTGCATGCCATGCGAATACTGACTGTTTAACTGTAGCACCCACTTGCGCCTACTAGACGCAATAGAGGACTACCGGCTTAAATAGTGGATTTGCGTCTAGGAGATGAGAGAGAAAGAGTCAGTTCGACTCTGGGAATCCATCCCCACAACTCTTCAGTGCAGTCCTCTGTCTTTAAATCTGACCGAATTTTAGCAAACCAAAATGTTGTTAAAGTTGTGGCTTGGAGGACTGCCAGCTGACAGGTTAATTTGGTCATCTCGGATAGGAGAGTCAGGCTACACTGGCTCCTCCTTAATATAGCCTCTATGGCACTCCCAGAGCGTTAGGATCCGAGCCGTGCTCCGTTTCATTTGTGAAATTTTGGTAAGTTGTACGTAGACTAAGCGTGTTTGAGACGCGCAGGGGGGGGGGC